CAATTATATTGGATGCACATACAATTTAGAAGAAATGCAAAGTAAAATTTATATTTAAAAGGACTAAATAGTTAATAATAGTATAATATGAATAAAATAAGAAATATAATATCTTCTTGCAATATATATATATATAAATTCATATGACTTGATTTCTATTAAATTCATACCTTTTTTATTTAGTTTAGTGATGAATTAATACTTTTATTGCTCTAACTGACTTCAATCCCATAGTGAAGTTCTCTCCTTAACACACAAAAAAATAATAGTCTACAAAGAAAAGAATGTATAAATTTTAAACTAATAAAATTACAAAATTCTTTTAAAAGAATAATATCATATGTTTTATAAAAAATTCATAAGAAAAAATAGTAATCCTTGTTTCATACAACAATATGCATATTTTGGACAAAGAGGAAAAATGGCATAAGAAAATAAAAACATAATATTATATTTAGTTACAATATGAAACATGGAAAAAAAAAATTTTTAACTTATCACGTTAGTAAAAAGAAATTGTAGAGATGAAGAGGAGAAGATGATATATTGTAATAGAAAAAGTGACTAATGATTAGAGATGTGGAGGAAGATGAAAGGATAAGAAGATGGAAGGGCATAGAGAAAAATCATGAAAAAATGATGTCATCAAATATTAAGGGATGATATGCATTTACACACATTTAAACATTGACTCTTCATTTTCTTCATTTAAGAGTTTTTAAATATTTAAACATTTGACTTTTTTATATTAAGATAACATTACCTTATCTACCATATTTATTCGTCAATTATTTTTATTATTTTTAATTTTTAATTATTTATCTATCTATCACTTTTATTATCTTTTATAATTTTCATTTATTTTTATCATGTATTTATAATTTATAATTTTCTTATATTTTGCATATTTCATTTCAATATTTTAAATTAATATAATATTTGATTTTTTTTTATATTAAGATAACATTACCTCATCTACCATATTTATTCGTCAATTATTTTTATTATTTACAATTTTTAATTATTTATCTATCTATCACTTTTATTATCTTTTATAATTTTCATTTATTTTTGTCATTTATTTATAATTTATAATTTTCTTATATTTTGCATATTTTGTTTCAATATTTTAAATTAATATAATATTATATTTTAAACAAATGCATATCCTATTTAATGAAATTGGGTATAGATTTTGTATATATATATATTACATACCTTATAATATTCATCTAAATTGTCTTCCATTGAGAAATTATTTAGCTATGGTCTTGCCTTTTCATCTACCAAAGCATTAATTTTTTCAGTTATGTATATTATATGTTATTATTTTTTTAATATTAATAATTAATAATTATCATACTATAATATCCAT